TAATAATCTCCAAATACAGGAAATTATCAGTCAAAGCTAAAGTCCACAGTAAGATATGCAAATAAAAAGAGAAGTAACTAATCTTGATCCCTTCCTTGAGTGGAAAAATGCAGTATCAGTCAGTTTCAACAAATCAATGGCTGTGATCCCAAATGGAAATAAGCCAATTTTCAATACTTGCTTTTTCTTTTTTCTTATGTCATTTAAGGGTTAGCTGCAATTTGCATACAGATAGGAAGCTATAACCAATACTTCAATAACATTGGCTAGAAATTTATCTAGGTCTTCCACAGTGAAGGAGAACTCTCTGTTGTGACATGGTGTGAAAGATACGATGAAAAATAAAAATAAAAAATTACTAGCCTTCTACTGCTATAAAAGCAGACTTCCTCTGTATCAATTTACATTATTTACATTATTTTTCTATTAATAGGTATGAGCATAATTAACAAAATTACTGTGTATATCCACTCAGGAATTGCTGTGTGGGTTACATGTATATAATAGCTCTGATATTGTAGAAAAATGTATTTTATTGTCTAATAGTATATCTTGTCAGAATTCATGCTCATTCATTGAACAAAACGATACCAAAACATTCCAGTTTTCTCTTCTTTTTCCTCTCTGTGTATGTTCTGATGTGAAAAGATCATTTAAGGGTGTAGTAATGTTTACAGATTTTTTTAGTATAGGCTGTATGTAGTCATTCAAAGCTGTATGAATACAGTACTTTTAAGTAGATGAAATTTAAGATTTCTGAAGATTTAAATGACATCTGTGTAACAATTACTGGAACAACGAACTAAAAATAAAATGGATGTAAAGTTTATGAGAAAGTTGTTCAGTCTTACCTAAGCAGATAAACACAAGTAAATTGCAATTCGTTCTTTATATCTTGTATCAAATACAGCAAGACTTGTTCAAGAATGCCTTCGATATTCTCATTGTATCTGTAGTTATTTACTACTAGAAATCTTGAAAGTACACTTCATTGGTGCACAGTTTTCACTCTTCCCTGCCCCTTGCTTCGTTCTTCAGAAAAGCTGTGGGAGTAGTGTATCTAGTTAGTGTACTGACTCAGTCAAGTGAGATCTAGTGATGCACCTGGTACACAAGATACTCAGCTGAAAGTTGCCTCATTTCATTCTTTTATATGTGTTTGTTTTGTCTTTCCTAGGTCAAATAAGTTAGTATAATGAAACCTATTAAGGTTAGATCTTCTTTCTTTTCTCTCTTGAAGATTTATTTTTCCTAATGGCTATATGTAGTTACCGAGCTGTAATTTACCTTCTGAAATACAGAAAACAGGAAAATAAGAGCTTGATCTTTACAGTATTTATTTTGCCTATGACTTTGTTGCATCACCTTACTCTTTGAGTGTCTCTTTTTCAGGCATTTTCTTCCTTTTGTTGTTGAACATGTGACAAAGCAAAGTGTGAGGCACTGATTTAAGAGAATTAGGCCAGGTTCTCCCATATGTACTGTAACTCATTAATCTGTGATTAAAAATTAATAAAATAATAAATGACTACGAATACTGTATTGTATTTAGAGGAAACAAACATTAGGTATCTCTGCAGTTCCCAGTGTTCCAAGCTACGAATTGGCTTACTTGCAGATCATTAGTATTAATGTTGGAAAGCAGAAGTAACAGATTGCTAACAAGTCAGGAAAAAAAAATATTTCACCTGAGTAGCACATTCCAGTTAATTTTAGTGTTACAAAAGTACATGGTACATGAAATAAACATCTGTAAGCAGTATTAAGGAGCATTCAGATTGATTTGTATCTGCCTCATCTGAATCTTATGTGTTTGGATAATAAATTAAGGCAAAAGCATCCTGGCTGTTTCACAAAAATAATTTCAGTCAATTCAGACTTTTACTCCAGGGTTTCTGTTTATCTGTTACTGTTTTATTCAATGCAGCTGAGACCAGTTATCTCCCCTGTGATTTTTGAGGTCACATCATAGGTTAGATATGTATTACAAATGATCCTGTGAGAAATTTTTTCAGATATAAGTAAAAACATTGCCAAGAAAAGAAGCTATTCTATTGCAGATGTTAATAAATGAAACAGAAACAGAGCACTAGATATGCTGTTTATTTAGAATTTCTCAGCAGTATACAAGAAACAGGAAAAAATGCAGGAAAGTTTCTACAACGATTTTAAAACTCGTATTGCTGCTGCTTTGCATAGTTCTTGTATGTAAACGTGAGCTTTTGGGAAAAGAGTGGACATAATGCTGTTAAAAAAAAAAAAAAAAAAAAGAGTGATTCAGTGCTCCTGACATAAACATCTTTCCTTGAGATAGTAAAGAAAATGGTAATTTCTTAGAAAACTCCTGTGTCAATTCACAGAATCACAGAACTGCAGGGGTTGGAAGGCATCTCCACACATCGAGTCCAACCCCCAGAGTTACTAGAGTCACGGTCTCCATGCTTATCTGGGTGTTCTTTTAAAACTAGAATTGTATTGGCAGTTTCGGACAAGATCTTTAAGCCAGTGAAAAAAATACTGTCTGTTTCTGTTTAGTCATTTTGAAAAAGGCAGTGCCTTTATGAGGACTATTTCATTCTAATTTGCCTTCCCACCCCAACTGAATTGCAAACATGCTTTTGTGAAAGATGGAGCCTTAGTGTAATGATGACCAAATGAAAGTAACGTGTTACGATGAATATAAAGCAGATACATTGGACAAAAATATGTTTTCATCTGCCATAGGAGTGTAAATTAGTATGCTGTAAGGGCATGCTGCCACTACCATCTTTGGAAAAAGATAATTTTTGTAAAATTCCTCTCTTAGTATCAGAAAAATGACCTGCACCTAGTGGTCAGTTTTCCTACTAAATTCAGAAGCAGCAGCAAGTAAAACAGCCATTGTGAAAGTGAATAGATGATTTAGTTGAATTAATATTTTTAAATGAATGAATAAATCCACCAACTCATGGAAATGTTTTGAGTACTTGTATGCATAAGATTTACTTTTGATCAGATATTCCGCTGCCACTATCTTTCACAGACTGTTGGTAAAAGCAAGGATACTTAACTGTGAAGTTTGTTCTTGGTTGACCCTAAAGATGAAAATTATTTTTGGACTCTTTCATTTCCCAGACTGCTGAAGTACTGTGATTTCTTTGACAATAGGAACATGCTAACTAGAAATAAGATGAGTGTCAGAAATACGTATTTCTCATACAGAAAAGCATAGCAGCATGATCCAGTGTAGCTCTTTCCCACATAATAAAATGTCCATTTTTATAAGCAACACACTCATAGGGACTGTTATAAATTAAGGTTTTCCATTTCAAGAAATCGTACAGAGGTCATTCAAAAAGAATTCCTTACATCTACTGATATCATTAATTCTAGGAAATGGTGGCAATTAACTAGGCCAATAAAGTACATTTTTTTATTATAGACCGATTCAGTTCTATCTCCTTCACTCCCCTAAAAATTTATCAATATGAAAACAAATTAACAATGATAATTAACTCTCATCTGATAGTTTCGCTGTAGCACATACATTGCTCAACAAGATCTTTTTGTAGAGCACTAATTCTTTCGTATAATGGTGATAGTTTCATTTGAGAATGACCTAAAATGTCAGTCAAATGTTTCCTATTCATAATACAGCATGTGACTTTCTGCATTTATGAGACATTACACCCCAAACTAAGAAAGAGCAGGCATTGCTACTGACTATGGGAAAACATAGGCATGGAAGTGATGTATTTTCTGGTAATCAGAAGAAAAAGTTTTTAGAAATAAAAAACTGAGTCTTCAACACATTTGTATCCCTGAATATTAAGTAAGAAATCATGAAAGAAATATTTTTAAAATTTCTAACACAGAAGGCTTCAAACTGACCTCTTCATATGTCACATAAAGAAGTGTTGCTCTGGGAATGCAGCTTAGTTTCGACATTCACTTTGACAAGCATTCTTTCTGAAGCTCAGAGAAGCTTTTAAGTATCTCAGTACCTGCTTCTTTCACTTCATAAGTTTCATAAACAGGAATTAATGTTGCTGAAGGTTAATGTGTAGATAAACAAGGTATTTTGTCCCAAGTGAAAGAAAAGCAAACTAAGGAAATGGAATTTTAAAAATATGTATACCTTTAACAGAGGTCATAGTTTTATATTTCTCTTCAGGTGTTTCAGTGATGTCAGGCCTGTGAAGTACAGGCTGCCAATCTAGGAACAGCAGTCAAGATTTCATTTTAAGATAGTTTTAACATGTATAATTGAAGTCTTTTCAAATAGATTCTCTTTGAGTTGACCTCAAAGTTTTAATTTATACTGGTTGTTTGTAGCTTGAAGGTCTAGTTTCAGTAGCACGGGATTTCTAGGTTGTAAGCATTTTTTTACCGTATTTCTTTTTCCAGAGTCATGTCATCTTTGTTTAAAGTCAATAAATTTGGAAATCTCTGTTGGCCAAATTCCACCCAGAGTTTTCTTACTGTATTTTCTACTGATTTTAAATCTGTTGCTCTGAACTTCCGTGACGAGTGACAGCTCTTATAGAAAAAACTGCAAGTCACCTTGTGAATGGTTAGAGGGAGCATGAGTAGTGTATAACTCTGGAAATTGCAAAACCCATATTCTGCTTAAAATATTCTTGGCTACTGTGTGCCTACACATACTGCTACAGCAAATTCATGTGCCCTATTTGTCCCAGTTTACTAACAGAAGAATTAAAGCTGTAATGTATATTCCGTACTGGCTGCTCTTCATCTTGCAAACATTGAATATTTGTTGAAGGTTTAGAAAAGAAGATGCTTTCAAAACTGTGAAAATGAGTGCTAAGTAATTGTACAGCATTCCAAGGTCTGAGTAAACTAAACAGAACATAACTGATCTTAATTCTCCACTTGGAATTCTCGTATAGTGACTGTGTTCTCCGAGGTCCAATATGATTTCTGTAAAAATCACATTTAATTTTGTGAGATGTCTGATGCTGTAGAAGAATAATGAACTGTTTTTCTCCTCTTTTGGGCAGTTTTGGCATGAACCATGATGGAATAGGAAATTCCTGTGGGACCAAAGGTCACGAAGCAGCAAAACTAATGGCAGCTCATATTACAGCAAACACCAATCCTTTCTCTTGGTCAGCCTGCAGTCGGGATTATATCACCAGTTTTTTAGAGTAAGTAATCTCTCAAGAAAAATCATGAGTTATTAGAAAAATTCACACCTTTCAGAATAAATACTTAGTAAATATACAGTGGCTGGCTCTAATGATTTATGTTTTTAGAATGTAAAAGCACAAATGAGTGAAGAATTACGTTGTAGAGCTCTTTTCCTGTGTACTGGCAAAAGCTTCTAATCTTTTCCCCTTTTCTTGGTGTTAAGTTTTAATCTATTCAAACATTTTAAAGTCGTGATCATATTCTCTTTACTTAATCTCAAGGTGAGAAATAGGGAAGATGAGAATTTGTCAGTGATTAATAGGAAGTAATTTTTTGTTTAAATATATGTGTAACATGAGGAAATGCAAGAAGGGAACAAGGTTCAAGCCCTTTTCCTTGTTCTCCCATTCATGTGTTTTTTTTATGTAGTCTTGTGGTTTTTCTGTATTCATTGGCAACTTTCATGAAAATAATCAGATTTGAAGCTGTCATAGATTTTTATATTAATATCTTTAAACCATGCTAATCTATACTTCTATAGTGATTTTTATCCAGAAATAGATTCCTACCAGAAATTCTACTTCTGCATAAAAAAATTAAAATAATCAAAATATATCAGTATCAAAAATGTGTTCATTCTCTACATGACGCATAGTGAAGCCATTGTGTGTAGTTAGCAACTGAAAGACAGGCACAGAACTGTGAGTTCACTGACAGCTAGTTAATAATGGTTTTTAAAATGTGTATGAGACAGTGGGTTCATGGGAGCAGGTTGACGCTGATTGATAGGTGCAGTGTCATCAGTGAAATTATTCTTTAAGAAATAAAAGTTGTTCAGAAATTCAATCACTTTGTGTTAAGAGGTGGACTTAAACCAATCAGATAGTCTAGTCATTGGATTTCTAAGAACAAAATGAACTTTTTCAGGGATGTTTCTTCAGAATAATAATTCTGTTTCCTAAGGGCTCCATCCAGACCAGTAACGTTTTCCTTCAGCTGGTTCAAATGTAGCTACTATCACACTGAATCACTGAATTGTACAGATGTGTTTGGGCCCCCTGTCTGTATAATGAGCATAATCAAATGTGTTAATATTAGGGGTTGTTGAGAGGAAAATACTTGGTTTTGGTTACTGTATCAGGTTAAGGTGTTCTGTATCACCTCACTGAACAGTACACCCACTTTTATGTGCTGGAGTGTTTAAACAAGTGTCTAGACTAAATCATACTGAATGAATTATCCCACATGTGCGTAATGCTGATTTCTCAACAATATAATTTATTTTCTTAGGAGATATGCATTTATTAATTAAACACGAACAGTATGAAAAAAAACCTTCAAGATCGCTGCCAGTCATATCTGCTCAGCTGAGCTGCTCTCTATAGTACTCCTTCTAGTATACTATATAGCCAAACTTCAGCTATTTGAAAGAATAGGATTTTTGCATCTCTGCTATGAGACTAATCCACACTACCAATAACCCTGACCACCAGCTTACATTTCAGTTATTTTCTCACAATCACAGATTTACAGAATTGTAGAGTCTGGAAGGGATCTCTAGAGGTCACTGAGTCCAACCCCCCTGCAAAGCAGACTCCCTACAGCAGGCTGCACAGGTAGGTGTCCAGGTGGGTCTTGAATGTCTCAAGTGAAAGAGACTCAGCCACCACCCTGGGCAGCCTGTTCCAGTGCTCCATCACCCTCACAGTGAAAAAGTTGTTATGCACGTTTGTGTGGAACTTCCTATGCTCCAGCTTCCTATATTCCTATGCTTTCTTGTAGTACTCGGGATTTGTCTATTACTATTACATTTTTTGCTGTTTATAGTCTTCCTTCTATTTGTCACTCTCTTTTAAACTTCATTTTTAATTCATAATTTTTTGAAAATGATTTATAAATTGATGACGACTGTTCCATGGGTAAAGTATTTTTTACTTATGTCCTTAGAGAAGGAAACACATGATAAATTCTGTGGCTTGTATTATGCTTAAAATATAATACTGCTGAACATTTTTTCATAGTTTTAAATTTCATTCTGAACAACCTTTCACGTTTCTTTACTTGCTACCTCTGTTTATATAGTAATCAGTCAGTTTTTAGCTATGTCTGTTAAAAAAATTTAGCTTGTGCCTCTCCTACTCTGTTAAAATGATTTTATTTATTTTATTTACTCTTAGCATCTTTGATATTCTTTTCCATTCCACTGAAGCACAGTGAAGTTTCTTTAAATTGCTAATACTTTTAAGCCTGTGAGATGCCACTGAAATTGTACTTACATTATTACAAAGGGAGAATAATGCTGTATTGAATGTGTTTCTGTTGTTCTTAGCTGTTTGGTTTTTATGCATTCTTTTAAAAACTCAGATTTCTCAAACATGATCAGTTAGAGATTTGTTATAAATCTGTGCTGCTGCTTCTTGTTTTGGTTTTTAATATCCTAGAAATGAATTGATGCTTTTGTTCTTGAAATAGTCGTTGCCAGATTTTGCAAGGTAAAATAATAGTTAAGAGTGAATATTTTTTTCTTAAGTTTCCAGTCTCTCCCCTCAATTTTCCCATCTGTTCAGGTAAAAACAGCCTTAATGGCAGATGCTTTTCATTTTCAGGTAATGATCAGTGAGCAAGAAGCAGAGAAAAATAGTGAGATTCACGTAGTAGCAATTCCCTGCCTGCCCCTGTAATAGCTGACCAGTTTGAATCCAGACAGGAAAAATTATTCGATTTTTGTTTTTTCCTAATTTCTCTTCAAAACTTAGCAGCAGATGAGGAAACAGCTGATTCAGAGGTTTAAAGGCAAAGCCTCAAAAGGCACTGTCATCTCTGTCTGCAGGTGTTTATTTCACACAGATTTTATACTGCCCTTTTTTTTTTTTTTCAATTTTGCATCAAAAAATGAGAAAACATCTGCAACAGAACCAGTAAACAACAAAAAAGGATTGTAAGTATTTTTTTTTTTCTTGTATTGAATTCACTTAGTTATATTTAACATCAAGAATAGAGCATTGTGGAACGAAATGCAAACATACTCAATAAGAAATGTGAGGTCATGAGTCTGTATGGTAAAACATATTTTAGATTTATCAGCGTGGGTCTCCATAAAAGTTGAGGCAGAGTAGTCATGACTCCCAATGCAGCTGGAATGCATTTGTTCAGAAGCTCAGTAACTGTTCACTGTGGTAAGGTAGGTTAGTGTGCATCTAGGTTAGTATGCTGACTTGGGCTACTGCTTTGCAACCGCACAGTTTTGTACTGTGTGTTTATTTTGTAGTGTTGATGCCATGCTGTCCTTTCTCATCAGGCAGAAGCATTTTGAAACAACTCATCATGGTGACAATGAAAGCAGAACCTCAGTGTTAGCCTCTACTTTCTCAAGACTTCTTAAGATCTGCATCTGGATACAAATTTTCCAGACTGAGGGTACTGAGGAATAGCCATTAAGTATTACTTAAAAGTTGTCAATTCAGCCAGACTCTGGTTGAGAAAAGAGTTTACTTTGTGAGACAGCCAGATAGAGGGTGAATGTGACTTCATGGGAATGAAGTCAAAGCAAAGCTGTGTATATTGCTAATAGGTCCATCAAAACTCCCAAGAATGATGACCTGATAGCCCAGGCTGTGAAATGGCAACTGAGAACCATTTTAATAGGGAAAACGTTTCTTCTAGCAGGTAATAGCTGTTGGCTGTAAGCTCTGGTTAAAGTGAAGGACGATTTAATTTATCACCTGAATTGTTTAGCATGCTTAACAGGGGCTTTAAATTTCATTAAACTTTTTATAGAATTAAATACAAGAAGGACTCACTAAGATTTGAAGAGTGAGAGAGCAGTGTTACAAGACAAAGGTTCCTGTGAGAAATGTAGAAACTAAAATCTGTTCATTGAGAAGTGAACTAACCCTAAAATTATTGTCTGTGGTTGAAAACCAATTGGTAAAACTTCATTGAGTGCAGCATATATATATATATATATATATATAAAATGCAAGTTTTGTTTTACCCAGTCTTTATTTGTCTAGGGCGTGGCCATGCAGATCCCAAGATTTAAAAAAGAGAACTTTCTTCTTCATTTCATTATTCAGTTGCTTTTATAGTTGGTAATAACCTAATCTGCTTGATGTCTGGAGTCATTAATCTCTACTTGTTAAATCTTATCAGTGTCAGATAGGAGAAGGTTTAACAAGAAGCCACGTAACCAGCTCAGTCTTTCAAAGGTATTTTTGTCTTTTGAAGAGGAATGAAGAAGAGCCTTAACTCTTTTAACTATTTGAATAAGTAAGATCTGTCACAGAATATTCTTGGAGAGTCTCTAGATTTGCCATACAGCAGGATTTAGCTCTGAGTAACTAGATTTTTCTAGCTCTGGAATTGAGCCAAAAATACTTCAGTCACAAGGAAGCTCACAGAATCACAGAATGGCCAGGGTTGGAAGGGACCTCAAAGATCATGAATCTCCAACCCCCCGTCACATGCAGGGCCACGTCCACGTTTAATACTAGACCAGGCTGCCCAAGCCCGTAGAGATGATGTAAAAAATCTTCCAGTGTCTGTGTTCAGGCATCATCTGACCAAGAATCTCAGACATAAAAGTGAATATGCAGGATAATACGAGATACTTTCCTTATATGCCTTATGTACTTTGTATGGCAGATATGCCCTGTTACTCCAGGAGACTAGTTTAGTAAGACAAGGCACATTAATAATATCAAAATTCCATCTCTTTCTGTACAAATAAAAGTAGAAAATTCACATCCGTTATTATCTGTTGACCTATAGTTTTTTCCTTCACTTTAAAGATTAGAAGTCTTTTTTTGCTGACATATGTCTGTAACTATTTTAGATCTAAAGTCTTCAAAAGTCAGCCTAAAAGGCTGCATTTAAAAAGAAAAGAACCAGTTTTTATAATCACTGGCTTGCAATATGTTTCTGAGTATTGACTTTTCAAATAATAGTCTTTGTTTACTTGTTCTTTTTATTTTATTAATTTAAGTAAATTGTAAAGGGCAGAATTAGTTGCAGGTTCCTATAGAGTGTCTGATGAAATGGAAATAGAACAAATTGGATGATTTTTTTTTAGTGTCTCTCCAATTCTCCAGGATGGATACCAGTAGATTTTGGTGGGTAGAGCAGATGATTTTGATAGATGGCTCAGTAGGTTTTTTTCCTAATAAGGGTGCTGGATATTTAATCAGAAGAAGAAAAGAATGCTTGGGAACATAGCATGGAGTGAAATATGCATTAAAGAAATAACAAATTATTTACTAAAAAACAAAAGAGAAAATGAGCATTAGAAGAACATTGTGCAAAATTGAAGTGTATTTGCTATGAAATAGCTACTCAGCAATGGAGCTAGCCTTGTGTAAAAGGCTGAAAAGTAGTAGAACATATCATAAGAGTCTAGTAAATCCACGTCAATATCTTAATTTCTCAGAGTTCAACAACGTTTGCATTTAGTAATCCTGTTTATCTCATTTTTAATTTTAAACATACCACTCTGAATCATATCTCCATTACTTATGCCCTTATTATACAAATATTTATATGTTATTATCTATGGATTATTGAGCAGTTTGCAGAGTTTATTCATTAATGTCAGGTTAAGCAATTTTTGTAGCCCATATAGAAATATATCTTGGTACTCTTTAAAAATCAGTTTTTACTCAGGAAAAATATATAGTATATATGCAGTAAGTCTTTTGATAAAAGCCAAATGTTATTTATAGGTATATAAGTAATTTATATTTTTATAGCTGTGTAAATATATAAATGCACTGTTTATACTTAAGTTATTTTAGTGTTGGTATTTTCCATGTTTTTATGGGAAATTTGTAATATGATCAAAGAAAATATTATGCATACTATCTAAATGTTTATCTATATGATTGGAATATAATGCAAGCATGTATTATAATGAATGAGCTAATTCTCTAACATCTCAAACTCATTTTCTGTGCTAATGTTCTGGGTGTTTTCCTCAGCCATTGAAGGAGTCTTAATGAAGTATGTATGTTCCTGAGATATGTGAGAATAAATAGTTGAACATGAGCATAAACCCTGAAGGGTCTACATGGGTGGTTTTTCTTCTCAGCAGCCTTGCATAGAAAGTGATGACTGCACAGAGGTTGTCACTGTTATATGCTAAAGAGTCTAGCATCGAGTCCCTTGTTGCTGTCATTTTGATCAATCAGTTTGACAGTGACGGAAACTTTGAGATTGTGAGCTTTTAAAGAAGGATGTAGTATCCTTGGTGTCCTTTCGGACAGAAATGAGATTAATTTTCTAGCCTGAAATATTGTAATACAAATTAAATTTTGAACTTCATTATAGATTACTTTACTTTTGTTTCTTGACACATCATACCGGAATACTTTTGTTAATAACAGTAAAATGGCATGAAGCTTTCCAATTTTATGATGGAAAATAGTCCTAATGTGCCCCGTATAAACTAATGAAATTAACTTAGAAAACGAGAAAATGCTTGAGTACCAGTGTGGTATCTTGTGGAGTAAGGAGAATGTGTCTTGAGTTTGAGTTCATCTTATTCCTATAGCAGACAATGAAGACTTACTCAATCCCTCTTCAAAAATACAAATGTTCTGTCTCTGATATCATGTGGGTGTTGTTTTTTTTTTTTAATTTATATTCAATTCCTATGTAAGAAAAAATCACAAGCAATGAAACTGTTGGTGAGTAGAAATAGTTAAATTTGCAGAAATGAAGATATTGAAAAGTCCTTATCATTCTCACTATCTACACATACAGCATTTCATTTTAGGTTCCCCCACTGATTTTGTAACACCCTTTTTTTTCAAATTCTTTGAAAGAGATAATAAAACTGAAGCAGAAGGAAAAAGAAATTAATATTCAACCTGAGAGAAGTAGTTCATAAGTTTGTTACTACTTACTAGACCATTTCTTGTTTTTTTATTAATAGAGCTGTTTTTTGTTACAATAAAAATGCTGTCTTCAGAGAATGTCACAGTTCTGTCCTGGTTTGGCCTGTTCCGTGACTAATGGGAAGGGGTTGACCCATGAACCCATGCCCTGGGAAAGTGGGAAGGAAAAGGTAGGCAGATGGGCATAAAAAAATAGTGGCAGAGAGCTAATTTATGGAGAATGCTAATTTACTAAATATGATAGCAGAATGTGAGATAATACAATACAAAATAATTGAACTAATAAATCAATTAAATGAGACAGAGAATGTCCAAAAACCAAAGGCCTTGCTGTAATGCCGAAGGTGGGGCAGCTAGGAAGCACACTCTGCAGTGGTGAGCAGAAAAAGAAAACAGTCTCGTGACACCCAGTCAACTTCAGTACATTTAAAGATTAAGATTTTGATCTTTAATCTAATCTGTGCAGGGATCTATATGCCTGTGGCCAATGGTAATGATAGGTTTTTAAATGGTTGTCTTTTTACAGGATTATGTGTTACATACCAAACTCTGCACTAGTTGCATCTGTGGAGATATTCTTGTTATGTATAGCGTCAAATGTTAAGCTTCCCATGGCTTGTTTAAACAAGTTAGTATCTGCAGTTTGGTTTGAACAATGCAGAATGCTTAGATTGTATTTGATTTATTTCCATATTGGAATTATTAGGATGTACTCCTCGTGCGCATGGAATACAAAACTGAAATGCTTTAGATTCAGAAGAACCCATGATAGTTTCTCAACTTCAGCCGAATGCATGCGCTTGTAGTAATAACAACTGGAATATAGGGACAAGTGCGTTACTTTTTAATGCTAGAATCATGTATTTAACATTTTAAGCCCTGATTGGGTGAAAGGAAGGATTTTATGCCTTGGTTTGGGCTGGGGGAGGTGCAGGTGAATCATATGGAACTTTTTGGGAAAGAACTTGAGTAGCTTTTTTATTATTATTACTTAGTTCATTAGTGAATTTGTTGCTGTGTATTCAGATGTGATAGTGGTTGTTTGGGCTTTTCCACAAGGTCTGCTCTTATATTTTGAGGAAATTAACAAATTAAGGTTAAGATGAGGTAATTAGTGGTACAGTTAAAAAGGAGCCTTTTTGTTTTTATCTGCAGATGAAAGAAGTAGAAAATTGGAGATCTTCACAAAACAGTGTGGAGCACTCACTATTGAAATTATGTTCCTTTGGCAAGATGCATGGAAAAGATTTGAAAAAAAAGAAACATAAGTGCTGGCAAAATTTGTAGGAATGTCAGAAAAAAATTGGAAGTGTTGGCATAAGAATTCTTTAAAAATCCTCACTTATTCACATGTGAATGAGAGTAAAAAAGCATCTGTCCTCTTTCATGCTCACTGACTAAATAAAACTGAATAATTATATTTAGTAAAGTATAAAATATTCTAAACGAAAGAACTCCATCTGCCTTTGGCTTTCTTTGTTATTTGTTCCACTGCACTAAAATATTGTGGTTGAATATGGGCATACATTGAAAAAAGGCAGTGACTATAAAAGAATATGAAAGTTTTGAAAGAAGATGATCTTAGTTAAATGCAATGGAAGCTATCTTTAGATCCATACACATTCTTTTACTCACCCAAGTAGAGGTAAATTCTAAGATTCTGAGCAATTTTTATCACTGTAACTATTTTGTTCTCTCACATGGAGGAGTAATAATGCATGTTACAGTCCTAGTTCTTTGGACATTTATTCATGTTGAAATTTAAATGTGTTTTATATAAATCAGTTAAGTTGTGTGTATCTGTTATGTTTTCAAGTACTTGCCTGTTTGAATGGTCAAAAAGATCATTAAGAATTATAAACTTAATTTATCTGCTTAATTTGTTTATTTTTCTTTCTGTGACCAAATGTAGCTATTCTTCAATGAAAACAAGTAGGAATATTTAAACAGAATTGAAAATCAGTCTCGAGTGGCTCAGTAATTATCATGCTTTTTGAAAGGATAACATATGACCTAAATAAGCATTTTTGTTAATAATTACAATGAAAAATTATTTTGATCTCTTAACTCCCCCTAATTATGTTTTTTCACCGTGGGTGTACCATTGTTCTGTTTTTTTTTGTTGAAATCATACTTGTTTCACACCCATGGCTGTTAAAAGTAAGAGCTAGATGCATTATATCATTGCTGTGATTTACAGTCAGTAGAATTCCTAATTCCTTTGGTCCTTTATGTTGAACAGTTCGGGCCGTGGTACTTGCCTTGATAATGAACCTCCCAAGCGTGACTTTCTTTATCCAGCTGTGGCCCCAGGTCAGGTGTATGATGCTGATGAACAATGTCGCTTCCAGTATGGAGCAACATCCCGCCAATGTAAATATGGGGTAAGAAGTCTTAATCCTTATGCTGAGTGTTTTGCTTAGTCATTTGTATATATTCTTTTATAGCATAAATTTTTAGTTAGATGCACTAGTGGGTTATGAATTCCCAGCAGTGTTCTATCTGGTACTATCATATATAAGCAAAGGGTACATTTTAATCTTTATGCTGCATCTTTTGCTTGAGTCATTTGTGTATGTATTTTACACCCAGATGTGTGTGTAACAGTGAGCTGGAGAAGCATTCTTGAAGGCTAGGATAGAAAGGAGCCCAGAACATATTATCGTGCTTCTTGTAAAGTATACTACATAATTTTCACTGGTTTCAGTTAAATGAGATCACGCTCATGCTCTATTAATTTTGAAATATGAAATCTGTTTTGTTGACTTTAACTTTTCAGTTGAAAGTTACATTTTGAAGTTACGTTTGTATTTTTATCGATTTATCAGGTCTGTTTTATTTTTTGCTGACAATGAGTTCGTTGTTTCTCACATTCAGAGGTCTTTTGGAAGAGAAGAATAATTGGTTATGGGAGCAGAGTAACATGAAGCTAGACTGAATAACATATTGAATAGCTAAGTACTAGCACTGCTTTGGCTGCAAATACCAGTGTGCAGTATTGAAGTATTTACTACGGGAGTAGTAAAAACCTGCATACTTAATATTTTAGGGCATTATGCAATATATTTTAAAGTAATATTTTAAGAAAACATTGCAGCCCAAAATACGTAGTAAAATGATGTACATTGTTACACTTACTGTTAAATAATCCACTGACAGTAAATAAAAAAATCTTAAATGCTTTAAAAATACAGAGCTAATATTACTATGTTTTTAGTTATTGATTATTCAAATCATTTAACTAATTGAATTGAATGATCAATAATTACTAATATTTTAATTATTGATTATTCATATAAAACAATTATAATCATGAAATTTACTCTGTTTACTTCTGTAAAGGATAGCTCCAAAGAAAGTCCATTAAAGGGATATTAAATAACCCTTGGCTGATAGATACGTTATTTTTCTTGGGATGCCTCTTTGACAGATAGCATTGTGCAGAGGATTTTAAAAGCTATACGTAGCTGGCTGACTAGCTTGCAGGGTCTTCTGTTCCTGATCCTCATCAAACCTGTCTTGGCCTTTAGTGTGCCTCTGTAAATTCTCACATTCCACCACTGTTCTCTGATGGCCTTGTTTGCTGTCACTACATCTAAAATTTTTAATCCTTTTTCTTGCAGATTTTCATACTCTTTGTTTTCAGGCTAAGGAAATGTGTAGGCATTTAACTTGCTATTTGTAGCCTTTGGAGAGACACTGCATTAGAAAATGCAGACAATTAGAAGTACTGAAGATGTAGGTAATTACAGAGTCTACTAAGTCTGCTTTCATTTTTTATAAAGTTTTATAAAGGAATTCTCCTATAGTTCAAAAAAAGAAAAAAAAAGTTGAAACTAAATTAAAGCGATGGTTAGAAGAAGTTAAGTATTCATGTGGCATCACTAGTCCTCTGAATTGGTGTAGTGTACTACATGCTGTCTATGAGCATGACTTACAAGAGTCTCAGAAAAAAAACAAAGTCCTATTTTTAATAGTAGAATGTAAACTGTATGTATTTCCATATCAGAATATTTCAGAAGCCTGGTGATATCCAGAAACATTATCTGCCTCAGCTGTGATTTTCTAAAAATGCCATCATTATGATCAAACAGATTTGAAGTAATAACATTGAAGGGAAAGAATACAGATGGAAAATACTCACACCAGAAAAACATTTTCTGAAGAATGAGTATTTAGAAGTGATAGTGGAGCTGGATGGCAATACCAGGGAAAGTTAAGTTAAATTTTCTCTTCTACTCTTTCACTATCAGAAGTAAACAGTTAGAACTTTGAATGTTTCTGTATGAGCTAATATTCACATAATGTTATAAATAATTCATGGATCTCAATCTAATGAGCATGCAACTGTAAATGAGAAAACATAATAAAAATCTTTATATAACAGTGTATCTGGTTGATGTAATGACTTTTTTTCTAGTGGTCAGCCCTTTCTTATTGAAATGCCTGCTAAAAAAGGAAGAGGTGTAGCAAATTTTCCAGGAAGGATGTTTAGTTAAATTCTAAAATAAAAGGAATTCCAGAAAAAATTTGTTGCTGTTTCCTCTTGCTCATGTTTTTTACTAATTTGTAATAGCAAGACATGACAAGAGAAACTGTCATACTTTCAGATCAAAAGAATTAAAATTTTCCTTTGGGCTCTGATATAAGTGTCAAGATGGCATTTGGTAATTTAGAAAATATTCAAGGTCTTTGAAATTCTGCTCTAATGTGTGTCTTACTAACCTCTAGAAAAACTACCTGTTTGGGCCATATAGCTTTGATGACGATCTGTATTCATTGCTTTTTTTCCTGTATTTCCACATCCAGTCCATTGTATTTTTATTCTAACTGTTCGTTGCTTTTGTTCATAAAATAAGTTCTAATTCAGAAAAGCTTTTCTTCATTTAAATATGTGAAGTTTTGTCTCTCACTTAGGAACTTCAGGTGTTTGAAGAGGTGTTTGAATGATTAAGGCATAAGAACTCAATTACTGAAGGGACTATAAGACTGCTTTTCTGTGTGTGTTCACTGACAAGGAATTCTGCAAAGCAGAACTAGACTTAATGGAGCTCTCTGTTTCAGTCACTTACAAGCAAAACTTCCAGCAAAAGTATTACAGCTGTTGATCAGATTTTCTTCAAATATTCAGCACATTGGCAGGCAAGAATTCACAGAGCTGTTTTAGCATATTTATTATTGTTTCCAAATAGATAGCAATTTTCTAATGTCAAATTTGCGTTGTTCTTTATGCTTTTAAACAGTCTGTGATACAGGAGCTCTTACATGGAATTTAATTCAAGAAATAGGTAGTTTGAATAAAGAACTGAGAGTTTATGTGACGATACTTAAATATATTTAGGCTGCTACAAATATAATGCCTCTTTTTTTTATTATTTTGCTCCATGACATCAGAGGTGGGTGTTGGTGTTATGGAGTAGAGATTGACTTCCTGCCAGTTCCGTTAGATTTTGTTGATGTGTGACAGAAGGCAGCAGTGGGGCAGTCTGAATAAGTGATGTCTGACATGGAAGTGTGTATGGAGGAAAGCTGTGTCATTGAGTGCCTCCATGTGGAAAATATGGTACTCATTGACAGTCACCACATTCTGGGTGGTGAGGCACAGCTATCACACCATGAAAGGAAGTGTATTTGATCAGGTCATCCATGCAGATCAGCAGATTACAGCCAGGAAACTACCGAGGGAGCTGAATATCAGCTTATATGCAGTCGAAATGATGGTGGCAATATTGAAATATGACAGTTTGTGCTAGGTGGGTGTCGTGAGTACTCACAGGAATAAAAAGAACTCTGTACGCAAAGTTGTCAGGATCTACTGAGCCAAAATGATGCCGAAGGGTTCATTTTTCTTGATAACATCACTACTGGTGATGATACATGGTGTCACCACTCCAAGCTGGAGTCAGAATTGCCGTTCATGCAGTGGTGAAATGTGAATTCCGTGTCTGAAAAAAAAGTTCAATATGCAGCCGTCAGGAGATAAAGAGATGTGCACTGTGTTTTAGGAAAGAAAAGAGGCGATTTGTCTTGATTTCCAGGAACTTGGATGAGCCATTGACTCTGACTGTTACATTAGGATGCAAAGTAAGTTGAGGAGTTGAACTTCTGGAGTAAGGCCAGAGAATATGACAACCTTTCCCTTGCAGTGCAATAATGTCAGGCCATTTACCATGGAGCCATATGACAGTCTTGGCTGGACTGTCCTAACACACCCACCTTGTAGTCTGGATTTGGTACCTTCTGGCTTTGATTTATGCAGGCCATTTAAAGATGGGTGACATTTTCTTAGCAATAATGCCATCATAGCATCTGCGAAACAGTAGATCATGTCCACTGGGGCAGATTTTTACAAGTATGGCGTGCAGACTCTTGTTCATTGTGAAAATGCATGGCTAATAGTTTTGAAAAAGAATGCTTTGTAGCTGAGAATTTTCTCTATCAAAGAGCATTATTGTGCTCTTCATATCCATTGTGATTTTATGGAAATAAATAGGAGGCATTACTTTTGGATTTGTCTTCATTCTTTGAGACACAGGAGAGTCTCAAATTTTGGATTTTTGGTGATTATATTGGTGGAAATTTCACCGTATACTACTGGCGTGTGGCTTTTTTTTCCTAAAGGTGTTGCATGCTTTCACGTATCTTATTAGTTGCAGTGTTGTGGGAGATTTTGAGGGTATTAAGAAGAATACGAGTTCCTGCAGGATGATGCAGTGTGAATTCTCCTCTCCTGACTGTTAAGTATGGTTTGATTAGGCTGTACTCTGTGTCCCACATGGCTTGGTAGTTCAGAAACATATTCAATCATTTTATTCAAATGAGTGTAAAGAGAACTTCTATTGTCAACTCCTTACCTTCTTCACATTTGTGCATCTGCATAGTTGGTTCTTGGCTGTCTCTGGGCTAACTCAGGAAGGAATTCCAGTCTTGACTTTAAATGTCTCTGTTTTATGAGTTTAAATAATATCTATAGTATGCCTGACTGTAACTTGCAGATTTTGTGGTTCATAATAATGTTTTGCTTTGGAGCTGGTCCCCACATTTTTAGGACAGGAGCTGAAACCTCATATATTTTAATAGCAGTTAATATGTTATGCGTATGATTGATTTTGCTGTGGTGCATTTTATGATCTGAGAAGCTCTTGGGTGCTAGCATGAATTTCAGAGATAGTGCTTAGCAATTCCCTGATAAATTTTTTCCATTTTATCCTTTTCCATCTTCACTGGTGTCATTAATTCAGAGGAATGAGGCAGTTGCTACCTTGAGTACATGGCTTCACTCAAATCGGTAGAACTTTGTATTTCATGGTGGAGCTTAATGTATCAAGTATATATCCTAGTTTATGACAGATAGATCTCTTCTTTGTCATAATCTAATACAATT